GACTTATTGACTTTTTCCGATTAAATTACCAACTAATTTTGTTTAACAACTTTCATTTGAGTTAGTTACCAATTTTTATTTGCTCTTTTTAGCTTATAAACTTTTGCTTTCGGTCACTTACTTTATTTGCCTTTTTATTTTTTCTTACGAACGCCTTACATTTATCATTTCTACGAAATGATACTTTGAATCATAAAACTATAATGAAATACACTATGAACCAACATTTATCTGCAAACTCAGCAAAATCGTAATTCGACCAAAAAAAAGTAAAATCGTAAATAACTAACTCTAATTATTATGTTGATACAAAATTATAGTATGTATAATGTTGTAATAAATAAGTTAATAAATATGTCAATAAAAAAATGCATATTACTATACATGATGTTCAGCCGTTGCTCCAATAGGAACATTTAACTTGTTTGTGCTTTGAAAAAGGCAAGCCTTTAGATTTTCTTTTAATTCCTTAAGATATCAAAAATTCAAAAATTAATAAAAGCTACCTAGATGCATGGCAAGAAGTGGCTCTAACAAGTAAATAAGATCAAAAGCGCCCTCTTTGTTTTTCTAAATAAAGCTCGTAAAATATAAGGGTTTCGGATAAAACTCGCCAATAACCTGTGTTACATTTTCGTTATACGATACACACACCTACAAATATACGTACCTACACACATAAATGCCGCACTACAGATATGTTTAGATGAATTGCTTTTTATATTTCCTTTTTTTGATGTGATGTCATAGATGGTTTATAGGGGAAGTAAAAGTGTGTTGATATATTTGACCAAAAGAAAAAAAAAGTGTGACGATATATGCATGTGGGTAATAGCTTAAAGCGAGATGCTGACCATGCAAAGTGAAAACAATGGGTCCTATGAGTGATCTCGTGCCTGCTCACGATTTGACCCTTGTGTCACCAAAAAAAGAGGGTGCTTTCAGATAAGGGCAACTGCGTCTCACGCATCATTGGCACGTCCAATCCCGTTCCTTATCCGCTCACCAAACACTCCTTTTGCTCTTCCTTTTTACCCTTCTCTTGATTTGGCCGACCCCGACGTAGCTTGTCTTCGAATTTTTCAAGGGTTATAGTTCAATTTCGACTCTTGCTCTTCGCTTGCTGTTCCCTCGTCAAAAGTAGTCTAGCAACTTTGATGGATTTTGACCGGTAACCACTGTACTAATGGTTGGTTCTTCATTTGATCATCGTTGATGGTTGAGGAAACCTTCCAGCAAGGTCCTCCTAAATTATAGCTTCTAGCATAATAGGTAGAGGATAAACATTGAAGAATTTCGTGAACGAGTGTCACATGGGCATCGATTGAAGAACTACATTAATAAAGATTGCAATTTTTCAATGCAGTGGTGTTTTATTCGTGTAAGTCTAGCGTTGCTCTTTGACTTTAAGTATTGAGAAAAAAACAACAGCGGGGGGGTGGGGGTGGGTGTGGTTATAGTGTTAGGGACATCGCCGGCATACTAATTTGAGTAAATATAAATGTGAGTAATGTCGAAGTTTATATTTATGCATCACTGAAAAAATTGGTTGGAGGAAGTTTCCCCTAACTAGACATGGACAAGAACATGGCTGCGAGTATATAATGATTTTGGTCTAATAGAAACCCTCACCATTAAGGAACCGTCTTCCGCCCGAAAGCTGGGGTCTTGAGTAATATCCAGAAATTTTTAAGCGTTGCTAAAGCTGACTATCTGGATAAAAATCGATTCTTAGCTTTGAGAAATTAGACTTCTCGTGATACTTTCATTTCTAGAAGAAAAATAATAATAAATAAATAAAATAATAAAAGAATTGAAGAGGTCATGTGCATGGGATTTAGTGGAGTTGAGATCTGCTAATTAAGGTGTTTATGCGTTGCTTAGTCATTTAGCTGGTAAGACGCATGAACATTGACGTCTCCATGTGGCACCATAGGCTTCTTCATGTTTGATGTCATCTACCGCCTAAGAGAAAGATGATTAATATAGGCAATTCTCTTACCAATCCAAGAGAGGAAGAACATTGTAACGAGAGAGAGTTGGCCGAAAAAACTACATTAGAATTTCATGCAAAAGTTTAAGGTCCAATTGACAAAATTGAAAAGTTTTAAGCTGAATCGGCATTGGTACGATAAGTTTAAAGAGGTGATGGATTACTTAGTCAGTCGGATCTGCTTCCTCGGCGTTAAGGTTGATTCACCAAGAATGATCGAAAAGCCTATCTAGATTGGGGAGATATGAGAATGAGGTCCTAAAATCAGATTGTGCAGTGAGATTTAAGTAGATTTCAGGGCATTACTTCTTCAACAAGGCCGTTCACTTTTACCTTTTGGCTTCTTTCATAATCTTCTTCAACTAGGCTGTACTATCAATCACAAGAAATGGGGTAGTTCCATATCTCACAAATAGTAACCTTATAGACACGTTACTTGATCCAACAATCATAAAGAATATGTGTTTACAAGGATGGGATTTTTTTATGAAAATCTTTATGAAAAAATTCAGAGCAATTACAAAGAATTTCCTATAATCTATAATGAAGATATAATCGAGTCTTAAAATTTTCAAAAAGTACCATTTTTGTCCAAAAAAATTTGTCCAAAACGCTCAATGGATTGCTTCCGATTGTTTCAGCCATTTTAAGTTGATTGAAGACTTCCATATGCCTATTTTTAAGGTTCATCCGTGATTCGTGCCATTGATGTGGCACCAAGTAGGTCCTGATGGAGTGCCAAACGAATGCCACAGCAGCAAAATAACTAAAAAAAAAAGGAAAGCGTTCACAATAAGGCCTCGAGCTTTTCATGAAAGCGCAATTGAATCTTAAAACTTTGAAAATGTGCAATCAAATGATAAAACTTGTGAAATTAGTGTGATTAAGCTCACCTGCTAGTTTCGTCCAATTTAGCAAACGAAAAATATCGATGAAGCTTTTTTTCTATTGCTTTCTCTTTCCTACATGTCCATTATTTCAAAGAAGGGTGCAACAATGATCTACATGAGATTGTTTCCCTCCTAACATTAATTGGAATTAGATTAATAGATAAAAAGAAAAGGAAAATACACACTATCCAACGAGGCTTAAGAGTCTTTGAGGTGCAGGCAAGGGCTGCCGACCTCGCCCAACCACAACCCCCAATCTACAATTCTTTTTTCAAATTTCTTGGCTATTTTCATTGACTCATTTTCTCTTTTCCTTTTTCCTATTAACCTTTTATCCTTTTTCTATTATCTTTTTCAGTTTTCAAGCTTTTTCCTGATGTGGTGTCTACTTGGTGCCATATTGGTGCTACATATCTACTGAAAAATACTAAAAAATGTCACGTTAGTATCCGTTAGCTAGACGGAACTAACGAATAATAGATTGTATCAATTTAACAAGTTTTAAGATTTAATTGTACTTTTTGAAAGTTTTTAAATTTAATTGCACTTTTCAAAACATGTTTTACAACTTTTGGTGCACTTATCCCAAAAGAGAAAATGGGCACACTCATACACATATAGACAAGTGGCTTGCCGTCACCGCCACCCTGCATTCTCTAATGAGGGTCTGCCCCAAACCAGGGTCTCATCGTCGACCGACCTTAGCTAGTGGAGGAAGGGCAAAAAAAGTCAGATCTCAAATATTAGAAGTTATAGATAAATCCATAGCTAAAGGCTCCAATCAAATAATTTGGCCGACGCCAAGTGAAAAGACAAGAAGATGGAAGAAACAAAAACATAAAAACATCCATGTCAAGCATGCTTAAGAGGAGAGAGTAGTGATTGGACGTGTGATTCATTCATATAGTACTTACCCACACAGCAAAGCGCAAAAACCATAAGGCTCGTTATGGAATGAGCGAAAGTAGGATATACCCAACCATCATCTTTTTATCTAGCAAATTCCTATGTGATCAGTGAATCAAACTTGAAATCGACGCCCTCAAAATGCTTGCAACCAAACGTACCCTAATGTGTCTTTCACTAAACATAAAGTATTAATTAAGAGGCATCTTCATTAAAGTGAAACCATCCTATATTGCCACACTTTTTTCATAAGGAAAAATGACATAAATAGTCATTGAACTTTGATCCAACGAACAATATAGTCCATGAAATTTTAATTTGTTCAATGTGGTTCCTAAACTTTAACCCAATGTGCAATGTAATCCCTGAACTTTTAATATGTTCAACATCCTCCTTGAACTTTTGATACATGTTTAATTTAGTCCATGAACTATATGAAAATGTTCACTATAGTCCTTCCATTAATTCTAGTTCAGGGAATACATCGAACATTTTCATATTGTTCAGGGACTACATTGAATATGTACCAAAAGTCCATGAACCATATTGAATAAATTAAAAGTTCAGGAACCACATTGAACATTAGGCTAAAGTTCAGGGAGTGCATTGAATAAATTAAAAGGTCATAAATCACATTGCACGTTGGACCAAAATCTAAGAGCCTGTTTGTGTCATTATTTCTTTCCATAAACGGCGATCCCTAATTGATTGCATTGCCCTAAAAAAGTGAAGGAATCTATGACAAGAAATTCTTAAATTAAAGCAGAATCTCTCATCTTGAAGATTAACCGCTATTTTACCCTCACCCCCAAATTTCGGGATCCCCCCAATCGCTTCCTTATAAAATAATTAACCAATCAGCGGGGATTTCTCCTTTGCTTTTCGTTGAAGAAAGTGGCGGGGGCGTTTCGGTCATTTCACACGGGGGAAGTTGGCGTAGGTTGGAAAGAGACAAGCCGTTCCGAGGAAGCCAATTCAGGCCGAAGGAATATGTCGTGAGAAAAACCGAAGTCCATTATAAATACGAAAATCATTTATGAGGGACGAGCCAAAACAAAGGCAACGTTGTCAAGGCAAGCTAAATACACACCCAAGCCATAAATATTCAAACAAGTAAAGCAAAGAATTCGTAGCTTCTCTCCTCTCTCTCTCCCCGTCAAGCTTTCTCTCTCTCTATATAACTCCCTTCTCTGCTTCCTCCTCCAATTCTTACAACTCTCTCTCTCTCTCTCTCTCTCTCTCTCTCTCTCTCTCTCTCTCTCTCTCTCTCTCTTCTCTTCACGATGGCAACACTTTACAGTAGAATCGCCATGACTTATGTTGTCATTTTGTTCTTTACCTATGTATCAACAGGTGCCAACTTTTAGCTCTTTACTAATGTACTTGATTCTTTCTTCACCAGCTTTTTTGGTTTGGGCTTTCATCTAGCATGTCGCTGTGCATCTTCTTCTTGAAGTTTAGCTGCATGTTCAGATTTTGATCACCACTTTCATGGTCTGTTGTGTTGTAGGGGTTGCTGCACTTGGGATCAATTATGGGCAAGTCGGCAACAATTTACCCCCGCCGGAGAGAGTTCTCGAGCTCCTAAGATCCTTAAAGGTCACGAAATCAAGAATCTACGACACCAATCCAGAAATCCTAACGGCATTCGCGAATTCCAACGTCGAGCTCATTGTGACCGTCGAGAATGATATGATAAGCCAGCTGAAGGATCCCCAACAAGCCTTGCAGTGGGTGAGCGCCCACATCAAGCCTTACTTCCCTGCCACGCGGATCACCGGAATCCAAGTCGGCAATGAGGTCTTAACCGACCCGGACCCCACGCTCATGGCCAATCTCGTGCCGGCAATGGCTGGCATCCACGGAGCTCTAGCCCAACTAGGGCTAGATTCCCAAATCCAAGTCTCCTCCCCCAATTCCTTGGCGGTCCTCGCCCAGTCATTCCCTCCTTCGGCTGGTACCTTCAAGAGCGAAGTCTATAGCGTGGTCTATCAATACTTGCAATTCTTATCGACTACTGAGTCACCATTTTGGATCAATGCCTATCCATATTTCGCTTACAAGGATGACCCATCTTCGATATCCCTCGACTATGTGCTTTTCAACCCAAACCCAGGCATGGTGGATCCATACACAAAATTGCGCTATGACAACATGTTGTATGCGCAGGTGGATGCGATCACTTTCGCCATGGCGAGAATGGGTTTCGAAGGGATCGAAGTTAGGGTTTCCGAGACCGGGTGGCCTTCGAAGGGCGACCCGAATGAGGTCGGCGCGACCCTCGAGAATGCCGCACTTTACAACAAGAACTTGTTACGGAGGCAGCTGAAGAATGAAGGGACGCCATTGAGGTCTAACATGAGGCTCGACGTCTACGTGTTCGCCTTGTTCAATGAGGACATGAAGCCAGGGCCAACTTCTGAAAGGAACTACGGACTTTTCCAGCCAGATGGGACAATGGCTTACAATGTTGGCCTCTCTGCTCTGTCTACCTCATCGTCCACCTCCTCAGCCTCCATTTCTCTCACTTCTTCCGCCACGAAGGTAAAATCCATAAGAAATCCTTAATCTTAAAGATTGTTTATTCCATCCCGACCCAGATGGGAAAAAAAATAGTTTCTGCAGGCGGCGTCACGATCTAGACATGCGTGCAGTCGGGGACCTAAACTTGCTGCGCTTGTGTCCGAATCCTAAGGCCGCCTGCGAAAACTTTCTTTTCCACCGGCGGTGGACAACATACAAACCCTTTCTTTCCTTTTATTCTCTTTCGCTTATTCTCCTGAATTTCACACACAAACACATGTCCTAAGGCTCTAAACTTGTAAAGAACTAGGGTTTACGTTAGGAATTGAATAATTAGCAGCAAGGCATTGAGAAGAATCTATATGTATTTCTCACGAGCATTGTGTAGATTTATACCTGTATAGGCACTCTTCACGTGATAATCCAAAAAGAAAGGTTTATGTGATGATATGAGCCTAATTCCTTCTTTTCTTGTCTTTTCTTATGAAATGGGATTTACTCTAAAACAGGGTGCACGTAAGGAATATCAAAGCTTGGTCTACTGGATGTTTGTGTTTTTGCTGACTTGTCAAATTTTAATGCGAAGACAGTTTTAGAGCCGATGGGGAGATGTGTGTCATTGTATATAGATTGCTTTTGGTAAGATTTACTGTAGGGTCTCTTCGTGCTCCAAAGTGTTACATGGGTCGGTCCATTTCGTCGGTCCATGCATCACAATATTCGGAAAAAAAAAAACAATAGATAACTCCGATTATAGGAGCTCATAATCGAAGAGGATTCGAATCCAGAGCAATTCATTGTGCTATATGATCTTCATTAATCATATGAAAGATTTATTTTCCAGATTTCGTTTGTCTTCGTTCGAATTGAACTTTATTTTCGTTCCACATTAGCAGCCGAGCGAGAAAAAAATTTATTATTATTATTATTATTAAATGTGTGTTTGTATATATTGGCTGTGCAATACCAAAAGTCAAAAGTATTCTTTTTTTTGCTTTTGCTTTATCTTAATTTTAAGAATACAACGCTAAGAGACCATATGTCCCCAAACGCAATTGGCTTTCAAGAAAGCTCTCCGCTTTTGGACGTGGAATCCATAAATGTTCGTCCCTTCCGAAAACGGAGCAATAAACAACCCGCCATGATAAAATCTCATATAAAATCGCCCTAATAAAATCAGTCAATCAAGGCTTTATAAAGCAAAAGCACCCATTAAACTAGAAAAATACAATAGAAGAAAACACGTAACTCGCGAATCCGCTACATATGGCGATGCGCCGATCCAACACAGGGCTAAGAGACCATATGTCCCCAAACGCAATTGGCTTTCAAGAAAGCTCTCCGCTTTTGGACGTGGAATCCATAAATGTTCATCCCTTCCGAAAACGGAGCAATAAACAACCCGCCATGATAAAATCTCATATAAAATCGCCCTAATAAAATCAGTCAATCAAGGCTTTATAAAGCAAAAGCACCCATTAATCTAGAAAAATACAATAGAAGAAAACACGTAACTCGTGAATCCGCTACATATCGCGATGCGCCGATCCAACACGTCGTCATTTCTAGCCTCGAAATCGATGTACCCAACAAGATTGCTTTTCACCGAGCGCGACAATCCCCCTCTACGGACGTAGAAGTGACCTGTATAAACGTCCGCATCGATAGTGACGAAAAGCAATTACGATAATGGATAACGATAATCAAATTTTATTGCCTTGATCCAACAAGAATACATTGAATTTGATTCCCTATCTTATCGCCCTCTCTCGTTTTTTTCTTGTTTTTTGGGAGGAAATGTCCACCCACCATTTGCATCATCATCTAAACAAGAGAAAAGCTTCAGAACCCAAAAAAAAAAAAAAAACAAGAGAAAAGCTAAGCAAAATGGGAGAGAGATGAGAGATGATGATAATGAAGAAGAAGAAGATTATAGGGAGGGAGTTGAAAGGGGGAGGCTTTAGCTGAGGCGGCGTTTCTCTTTTCTATCCTTTACCGGCAACTGGAGGGGCCAACCCTTTATTCTCTCTGGTCAGATAACCGTCAGCATGTGGCCTCCCACGACAAACCCTTTGTGAGAAGAAAGGAGCTTTTTCCTTCTTTCTTTTTTCCTCTTTTAATTCGTTTCTTTGCTTTTTCTCTTTCTTTTTTGGAGAGTGGAGAGGGAGACAAAATAAGATCAGGCCACGTAATACATGACGAGGATGGGCGAACATGCGCCCAACATTTTGTACCGGAACTCCACGAGTGTTGCACCTACGCTTGTTGTCACTGGTGTCGCATACGATTGAAAAGAAAGATGGGTATTTGTTCTTTTGAGGATTTGAAATATCGTAACTCTAATTTGTCATGTGTGAGTTATGTGATGCATTGACTACGTTCTGTTGATCTAGGTTCACTAATCTTGTTGTACTGAATACAGAGAGAGATCTGTAGTGGTCTCTCCATTTAAATTTCTAATATGGCCTTTAATTAAGACAGACAGTTCGTGTTGGCGTGTCATAATCGTGTTTGTAACCTAAAATATCTTGACTTTTAATTTACGTGCCAAATAAATGAATTATGATGAAAACGTGTTAATTCATGTCAATTCAGTATAACATGTGCTCTGCAAGCCGCTCTCATCCTCTTCCCAATGAGCTCATTTGCTCTATTTTATTGAATATGCTTAGCGAGAAGAATGTTTTTTGATACACCTAGACTGTGTTTTTGGGTGTAAAAAGCGGGCCCTGGTTAATACAACAAATCCCTTAAACATGCTGTCTCGTCCTTACGCTACGCAATCCATAAGATTGACCTTTGTCAGCATATACAGTTAGGTATGTTGTATCATGTTATATTTGGATTTTCGCTGTATAATTCGTGTTTTATTTCGTGTCATGCAAATGGATAGGTGTCCAGCATTGTCGACCCTACCTTTGCTATGCATGATTAACAAAGATGAAATGAAGGACACAAACAAACATAAGATCTCAATGTGAAATACTCACCAATTATTAGGGGAGTCATTTCCCCCCTAACAAATGGCTCATGTGTGATGTGTTCCTCTCTCCGACTACACTCCACGTTCTCTTCCTCTTTTTTGCCGTGTGGAAGTTATTATCCTTTTTAACTAATTTTCTCTTCATAATCCATGATCTTTAACATATATTAAGAAAGTAGAATATCTTTATATACATAGTAACGGTTCGAGTTGCATGAACAGGCGTGTAGTGCGTGCAATGGCGGACTTAGGGGGCTGGCGGTGCCTCCCCTAGGTTTTCGAAAGGAATTTTATACATGATGTATGCACGAAAATATATCTTTCGGCCACCTAACCTCAATTTCCCTGTCTGCCGTCTAGCACATGTTTGTGCTAGTTCAGGATAAAGAAAGAAATGCCGGAGTGTCCCATCTAATAATCATGGATCAAAGTGTTTGTCGAGGCGACGGCGCTTTCAATCTGGGAATTGATATGGATAAACACTGATCGCAATTTTAAACAGACAAAGGGGATTGCGGTGTGGAAACACCTCAAGATCTATCTCAATAAAGAAAGAAAGAGAGAAAGGGAGTTGGTCTGTTGATCACTTTTTCGGTCGCCTTCTTAGAACGCTGTGGTCAGAACCAACGCATTCTAGGCAGAACCAAAGGGTGGTTGTAGCTGGGCGTTTTGTGGGAACCTTTCGGCGCAAGAATGACGCGTCCAAAGTGGAGTTGGAGTGCATCATCACCATCGCCATGAATGCTTTACATTTCAGCATGTGCTTTTGCCTCCTAAAGACAAATGTATGGCAGAGTACCGAATATTACTACAGTTAGGGTTCTGTCCCTTTTCCTGTGATTCAGTGTCCGGCGATCGTGTGTTTTCCCACTTTGTGAATTCTTGGAACCCCGTTGAATATAATCTAAAGTGTTTATGATGACTCGTTACACGGTCATCTACAGAGTTCTGATGGAAATCTCTCGCTGAGGCCTGGCTAATATCTTATGGACTAAGTTTACCCTACCATCAAGGAAATAGCGCTTATGTAGGGTCGACTACCAAGTGTTGATGATTGCTTTATATGTTTCTGGGGTAAGGATTGGAGAGTTTTTTCAACGAACGTTGCTACATGTGAGTTGAAAACCTCATGGATTGGCTATTGGTTTAGGAATGGAGATACGAACGTGGACGCACGCAGCCCGTATTCAAATTCCCCCACGCGCCGCGGGGGAGGTTCCCTTGTTTCTAAGCGCCGCACCCTGTACTATGACAGCATTTGGACGGTGACACTGTCGTCGATCTGTCTTGATCTTCTCATTGCACATCCAATGTTCAATACACATGATCTTTACGTCATTGGAAAGCTCGTGATGAGAGCTTTCCAAAGATCCTCGTATTGATAGGGTAAATCTCAAAGTCGAGGACTCGAGATTTTGGCCCATACCCAGGCCATAGGGTCCTGTCTATGAACCGGACATTGAATTAAAGTCTCCACAGTTCCGAAACTTATTATTGACAATGAATTAGAGGTGTGCAAAGTTTTGTTCGCTTCCGAAACCCTTAGTTATGGTTTTGGGCACAGGGACCTATTCAAGTATTAGAAAGCTTGACCAAAGTTGGACCGGCAAGAACTTCCTTATCTCATACCCAATCGACGCGATTTTCATTGCTGTTGGAACACTTGCGACCTTGTTTTTTTCCATGACGGAAATGGATACCGAGAAACCACAAACATCCTGAATAGGGGAGTGTAGTTCAATCGGACCAGGGCCAGTCTAGTTGTGAGTCCAAAGTTTCACGACTCCCATGGATGAGTGGTGAGACCGATACCGCTTTGGAAGATGCCATCTTTAGCATGTAATGCTTTCCTAATGCTAGAGGATTTTTTATTGTATACCAGCATACCTCCAAATCTTGAATTTCGTACCAAATCCGCCCATCAAGCATTTTTCTCCTTGCGCACATCTATCAAAATTTTGTCAATAAGGCTAAATTTCTTCTCTGTTCTGTCTGCGACTTTACTCTCGGCAACCAAGCTCATTTTGCGCTTTTCTTCTATTGAACCTAATCTTTGTTAGCTTTGTTGGAGTGATTACTCAACTTGAAAAGAGTATCTCTTTCTTCATGTCATAGTTTGGAACGGACTCATAAACATATTAGACGAAGACTGTTCTGCCCACCATCGATAGCATGTTCGACCTCTATCCGGAAATTTTGTCGCTGACTTCGTATATACCAAAAGAAAATTCTAAAGATCTTTATCCATCATAGTTCAATGGGAAACCGAGGTACTTAATTACTAATGTCATTACTACCACTCGTACCAAGTCTATTCTCCAGATCCTGTTCAATCTGATGAGAAATATCTTTTGAAGTATAACTCGAGACTTGTCCTTGTTTTTTTTTTGCTAGAAGAGACTTGTCCTTGTTGACTGCCTAATCAGACGTTTCACAAAAGGAATCAAGCACCTGGGAAATGGTATCACAACCCTCTCATCCGTTTCTAGAGAATCTAGCACCTTTCCAGTTTCCTTTCATCCTCAATCAGAATGGACAGAATTTTCATGCACAGAACAAAAGAAGAGAGAAAGGACGTGCTTAAAGAAATGTCATTCCATCCTATCATAAGTTTATTGCATGTCAATTTAACTGACGTACACCATCTTTTACTCTTTATTTTATTCATCGTGCAGATAATCTCTCTCACGGTCACAACATCATCGAGAAAACTACCAAAAAAATCTAAAAAAATATTATAATTGTGCAAATTTAGTCCTAAACTATTTTTTTGTGACAATTAAATCCTAAACATTTTGCATTTGTGTCAATTCAGTCCATCCGGCTAATTTTGGGCAACCGACACTAACGTGGAAGCTAG